TGAAAACCAGAAAGCTTTCTTTTTTCCAACTCAAGTCAATCTGCAGTTCAACATCCAAGGATATATTTTATAGCGACCTCATTCTCAGATATGGTAAACTGTTCATGTAAAATATGTACACAAATTTGCGTGGGTATTTTGCTGGTAGACGAATCTGACTTTTTAGGCAGAAACATTTTAATAGCCTGCTCATGAAATTTTCAGGCATTTCAAAACAGTCTGCAAAAGGACAGAGCTAGATCAGAGAGACTGCCTTCAAAGAAAATCGCTATTAAATGAGTAAACATCTTATTTACTCCAAACGGCTTCCCAGACATAGCGTGTAACTACAGGTCAGTCTGCTGAAGCACTAAAATGGGCTTCGAGTGGCTCCTGGCTTCAGAAAACACTGAGAATATTCTCACATCGAGAGCTTATTTTGATAAGAGCAGCAGTCCTTTCACTGCAACGAATGCAGATGCAACTTCACTGCTTACAGATATGAAGCTGCACCGCAGGCTTCAACCGATAACACTCCACCTCATTCCGAGTCCCTTCAAAGGTGTTCAATATGCTTGGATGCTTGTTTTATACTAGAGTGAAGAGCTTTACAAATGTGTCAATTGCAATTTTCAGTTATATTCACTATATAAACATTAAGAAATTTGTTTATATATATATACACAATATAGGTCCAATATATATATATATATTCTGTACTCTGTATGCTACATCTTTGTAGTAGTACGTGTTCATATTTTATGTTTTTTTTAGTACACAAACACAGACAGGAAAAAATTCACAAAAGATCTCACCACAACATAAGAACATTAAATTGAGAAGCTGAATGAAGATTTGTCTGTTATACCGGAGGCCTTTTCTATTGATTTTAATTCAATTGAACTCAGACAGCAGAGGAAAAATTGCCCGTGGTACAACTGCAGTTGGTTAAATTGCCACAACTGCATTATAATGGGCAAGTGTCACAAAAGGTGAGCGAAAGAGAAAAACTTCTTGACCCGGAGCACATTACAGACAGGAAAGTGAAGCATGTCTCAGAGTCCTGCAGCCCTGCAGCCATAGCAATCAAAGGGGCTGTGATTTTAATTGTGCCAAGGTAATTATTTCAGGCCATTTTCCCTAAAACAAACAATGGTCAGTGCATCCTAATCAGTACATTGTTTTTAAAGGAGGCATCAAGCACATGACCTCATTAGATTCATATTCACCCATACATATTCAACGTTTCCTCCTAACAACAGGCCACTGAGTTAAAGTTAAAGGAACACATTGAATGTGATTGTATTGGAAATGTGGTGCTCGCAACGCTCTCATGGTTTCAATGGCTTGGGAAAATGACAACACTCTATAAAAACAGCAGGTTTCCTCTGATGTTTAGTGAGAAGTAAGCCCTATAGTATGAAACGAATCAAAGCTTTTATGAAATCAATAACTTCCAAAAGAACACAGCTGCATATTTTGACGAGGTACAGAGGTTGTTTTTTTCTCTCTTTTTAAAAATCTAGTTCATTCTAAGTTATTCAAGTGAATCATGTACACACTAATACTGCTTCACCTTTATTGCTGACACATTTAATTTGGAAAGAACAGCTCGAAGAAATATTATATCGTCCCCAGAACAGCAGTAAATGTGAGTGCTAAAAGGATATATAGATATTGCTCCAACATTATCTAAGGCACGACACATTTCCCAAAATGCAGCATAGTTTTACTTCTTTCGCCCACGTTTGATAAGGTGTAAGTGTAGTAGGCGTAATTTCAGATATTTTCCAAATGCGTTTGCCTGCTAGTCATCATATCCTGGGTTTCCAGCCACATATTTTTAATGTGAATTTTGAGATCATATTAAAAGTGCTGGATAGAAACACCAAGATGTGGATACAATTTCCAATATGTGCAGAAAAACTTTTTAATCAGTTTTAAATATGTAAAGACTACATGTGCATAAACAATGGAAAGATGATGGATTTACTGAAATTCTTAGATGCACATAAAAAAAAGGCAATTTTTGATACAATCTTTTTTTCTTGAACATGGATGAAAACATAGCAAACCATTCATTTGTAGCATTCATCAGACTGGTTTTGAGTTGCAGGGCAGAACATGTTGGATTTATGTGGTCAAGATGAAATATAACTGGTCATGTTCCCATTTGAAACAGTAAGAGAAAGATTTTTCCATTTATTCTAAAAGAAATAAACCCTTCTCTATTCTCCATTTCAGTTGTTAGTTTAAAACCCTTTTTATCAGGTTCTGACTCTAAAAGGTCAAAAGCATAAGAGGCTTCAGAGACCGTGCTCTAGAGAAATCGAGGAAGTGTGGAGAGAGGTCTGCTTCATTTGATGAAAGAGGACATTCCTGCTGAGTGATCTTCTCCCAGGACGACATTACTGAGAGCCAATCAGCTTTGTCTTCAGCTTTCCTGCTGAGACTTCTTCAAAAGGCCTGGGCTCAAGGTCCCAGAGGCCATCTTGCCAGCCACAAGACTTTGTACAGAACAGCCTGACTTCCATTAAGGTCGGCTTCGTTCTGTTTCGAGAATTGGTCCCAAGCGATAAAGTGGGCTCTCTTTCTTTTCTATCCGAGGCACTTATTCATTAGATCCATTTATGTTTAAAAGATCAATATTCTCTCAGATTATTTTTTAACCCATGATTACTGCCTTTACCGAAACATTTTCAAATGGATCTAAAATAAAAATATTAAATGCTACTTGCCTCAACTGATGTTGCTTATATAAAAAAGCAGACAAAATTCATCAATTCAAACTTTAACTGAGTTGAACTCGCTGTCGCAAGAAAAAATCATGAGGAAAAAAAGAGACAATTATATTTTAATTTATACTTTAAATTATATACTTTGCCTTCCTTTAGAGATGCAAAGTGGTTAGCAGTCATTTTAGGGTCTTGAACCAAAGTGCTGCTTAAAAAGGACAGTTCATTAAAAAAACTAAATTCTGTCATCATTTAAAGAAGATATTTTGAAGAATGTTGAATCTGATTTTGCCTATACAGCATTAATGGGGTCCAAACCAATGACTTTCAATGCATGGACAAAAATGAATATATAATACTAATTTAATTAATATATACAATATATCATTTTATCTCTCTCTCTGTGCCTCTGAGACAATATAAATGTCCAAATCTGCATGCAACAGAGAACCAGTGAAATACAGAGTTCTGGCATGAAACTCTAGATGGCGCAGTCCGATAGGTTTACTCAATCTGACCTAATGACATCATTATCACACGGCACAGCTGATTGGTTCTCTCCTGTATCGGTAGCCAATGAGCTCACTGCTCAACATTCAAATATATGACTAGTGCTTGCAGTAGCAGTTGCAGCTTGCTTCAGAAACCCTCCACCTTCCCCAGCTCCACCTGTATAGATCTGCCACGAGGTGATTCATGTATGCTATATGGAGTAATATTTCTTACATGCTCATAGCAGCATGTTGTGGATGTATTGGCAGTAGCAAGTCTTGGTACTTGCTCAGCCGCAGCAGCAGTGTAGCAGATCTTTTCTGCCAAGACCAAATACATTAACATTGTCATGTACATTACCATGCCAATCCCTCCGAGAGTTGACATGACAAAAATTAATTTTACATACAGAGAGCATTGAGGAGTATCATTGATTAGCAGTTTTCAGAGAGGGACAGCTGAACAACGATCTTCACTGGCTCTTATGTAGGGTACACTGAAAGCGCACACCCAGGTGGCCTGTGCACGAATGTGCACTCGATGAAGACAACATGGAGAGACACCAATATGTGACAACTTCCTCTCCTGTGTTTCCTCTCCTCTCTAATTGGCTTTGAGCTGTCATTAGTACCGTCTATCCTACAGAAAATGAAGGAAAAGCAATTAATAGTCCATCACAGACCATATGCAAAAGGAGTACCTCTTCCCAAAGACAGGATCTATAAGGGAGAGAGGAATAATTAGGCACAGATGTTTGAGAAACAGTCCAGGACAGCTCACTGAGCTAGAACTGAAATACTGTTGCTAATGGGATATGACATGAATCTTTATTTTTCACTCCTCTTTTTCAATCTGTTGTTTTGAAATATTTCAAATATGGTTCTTAACTCCTTAAAGACTTATCTAATGTGAAGAATAATGAGGGATATTTGCAAAAACTCTGGCTTTAAAGACCAGTCTCTATAAGTTGAAGAGATCTTGCTTTGCAAACCAGACCAAAACAAGCTTGTAAGATCACCTGATGCCACTTATTATTTCTTAAAGGGATAGTTCACCCAAAAACTATACTTCCAGCATCATTTACTCACCCTCATGTACTCTTAAAAAAAGGGTTCTTTGGGGTTCTATATAGAACCCTAGGGTTCAACTCAACTCCAAAGAACCCTTTATGCCAAAAAGGTTCTATATAAGGAGAAAGAACCCTTTTTGGCAAAAAAGGGTTCTTTGGGCTAAACCATGCTTTATGTATGGTTAGGCTATTTAAAATTATTATAGTACATTGTATTTGTGTTTTTATTTCAATTTTACGTTGACACACCTTTATTCCGAAGAAAATAAACTTAAAATTTACGTCTGCACTTTCAAGTTTAATAGAAAATAATTGCCACGTGATCCTGTACACTGAAAAAATGCGTAACATCTAAATTAACTGGTTTTACTTAGGTCTACTATCACTGAATCAAACTATTAATTTATATCAACAAACTGATCAGGTAGAAATACATGTGTACTAGCAGTGTATAGCAATCTGGACAATTGTATCTATTTATTAATAGGTACACGCTATAGTCTGCTATTTAATCAGCACACAAACATGATTGCAAGTTAGTTATCATGCCATGTAAGATGCTGTACAGCTCTTTTATTGACGAACAACATGCTCATATCGTATGGAGTTTCAGTGTTTCATTTAGATTCTAAAAGGCTATTCTTATAACTCATCCCTCCAAACAGATGCATAAAATTATCTTTGACATAAACGGCAAACAACTTGAATGTGTATTTATGCGCATTTCTGCCGCGCCTCTCGCGAGAGTAATCACTAATAAGCGTGCGAGCGCCGCTGTTTAAACTTCAACGGTTACGGTGCGCTCGGGACAACGACGATTACATTGGTAAGTGAGAAAATTAATTAATTGCAGCTTATTTCAATTACTTTTACCTAAACCCTTGTCATTTTTAGTTAGCCTAACGTTACACGTTTATTTCAAGAAGCTAAAAAGAAAAGAAAAGTGGTTTATCGCGTTGTCCAGGCCTGCGCAATTCTTCGCCGGGAGGTTTGTCATTTTTAACATGAATCCCTAAAGTATCTTGATAAAACTGTTGTGAATTGATCAATAATGCTGGCGAGAGTTCATGATATATCCTAATATTTTTTGCCCTGTAGATTGTATTGGACCTATATGTATAGGAAAAGATGAAACAAAGTTTCGGTCAAATCACCGTCTGCCAGCCGGTATAAACATGAATTCAAACTAAGAAGGACAAAGAGAGAAGCTGATGGAGATGTTAAAATTTTTTCTGTGAAGAACTGTGAGTATTTGTTGTTTGCAGTAGAGTAAAATATTATTATTTGTTTTGCTGAAGTAACGTTAATTGTATATTATTCTAAACACACTGTATTTTGTTGTTGTAGATGTTCATCTATCTCAGAGAGCACTTTTAAAGTTTTACCACCACCTTATCAGAGTGCTGAAAAGTGGAAGTCAGAGGAAACATGACCAACTTGCTGCAAAACAATAACACAAAAGGTACATTATTTATTTTCCCTCACTGTACGAACTTTGGGAAACTCATCAATCAGCTAACTGAAGTTACTGATATATATTCTTCTTCTTCTATTTTCCACATATTATCATGCAGGTTCTTATGATTAATTGATAAATAAATATTTTGTACTGTCACTGCAGGTCTGGACTATGGAGTGCATGCAGCCTTACTTGTTTGGTCATCTACATTCAGATGAAAACACCACACTCCTCTCTAATTCAAGTAAGTTTTAAGATTTAATTTAATTGTGAGAGATTCCTTTCTTTTCCCTGTTGTACTGTACTCTCTCCATAGGTCTAATAAATGTTTCTCTGACTTGTATCCTCATCTTAGGATGTCAAGCCTACTCATCGCAAGGAGAGTTAGCATCAAAATGGATGTGTCACTGACCAATAACACAGAGATGCCAGAAGTATCTGTTTGCTGTCTACTTTTTGTTAAGTACTATGGAGCATCCAAAAGCCATCACTCAGTTAAATTCAATCAGCACTATTTAGCTCTTCCCAGTGCTGAAATTGTCATGGGTCCTTTGTTTTTATTGTTTAAATGCTTATCTGAATGTAAAATGTAACATTTAATGCTTATAAATATAAAAACAATACTACTAGTTAGTCTTTTCTCTCCCTTTTCAGAAATGTGGTTCACCATCTTTCATGGGTTACAGAACTGGCAAAAGTTGCAGTATACAAAAAAAAGTCAGACTACTTGGTTTATAGGAGAATGTGGAGTAAATACTTGACATTTATTTAAGGTAAAGGGTAATGACCTGGTGGTGAGATGCAAAACAGGACTGTCATTAATATACTATCTGATGACTTTTTCACATTCTAATTTTACTTATGCATTTAATTGTTTGTAATTATTTTTGCAAGTCAACTTTCAATTTATTTATTTGTGCAAGTTAACTTTCAATAGTTTTTTTGTGGATTCTAGCAATCAACATATATTTGTGACTGACATGTTGGATGGGTGAGTAAGGTGGAGGGGGTTGAAAAAACAACATTTCTAAACTGGAGAGTGCTATTTTAGAGAGGTAAAAATAATTAAAAAAATGGATTTATGTTAATCCCTGTAACTGTTGCACTATGAATTGCTGTGTTATATATTGCTTGTCATTGTAAAAGCTAATAAAAGTGTCTTAAATGATCACACAACACCTTGATGTGTTATGCTTATTTCAGTTTTTCTAGTGATAAAGTAGCTATATGGGCTGTTTAAGTCTTAAAATGTAATTAAAATAAAACTAAAATTAAATCCAAAGAATAATCCCATAAAGGGTTCTATCTAGAACCTTTTCCCAGGCTACAAATAACCCTAAAGGGTTCTTTTGATTGAACCCTTAAAAAGGGTTCTATATGGAACCTTTTAGGGGTTCCATATACTGTTTGAAGCGCCTGATAGAACCTTTTCTTCTAAGAGTGTAGAACATAAAATAAAATATAAGAAAAAACACTGAGACATTCTTCATAATATCTTTTTCCATGTTTTCCAGAAGAAAGAAAATGACATGAGGAGTAAAGACCCTGTTCCAAAAACATAATTTCTTCCACTTCATCTACTATGCTATAATGAGATATTGTGAACTTGCAAAAAATTGTATTCTGTCAGAATATCAGCAGGGACCCCAAAATTAAAATTCTATCATCATTTACTCACCCTTATGTTATTCCAAACCCATAACACTTTGGCTATTCTTTAAACCACAAATTAAGATATTTTTTATAAAACCTGGGAGGTTTCTGTTCCTCCAGTCCAGGTAACCAAAATTAGAAGATTCAAAAAAGCCATAAAGGCCCCATAAAATAAATCCATAGGAATCAACCACTTTATCCCAAGTCTTGTGAAAAGATGTGATCACTTTATATTATAAACAAATTTAATGTAGGCTTTAATTTACATATGTGACCCTGGACCACAAAACCAGTCATAAGGGTCAATTTTTTGAGTAAATAAGCTTTCCATTGATGTATGGTTTGTTAGGATAGGACAATATTTGTTCGAGATACAACTATTCGAAAATCTGGAATCTGAGGGTGCAAAACATTATCTTTACTTAATATCCTAATGATTTTTGGCATAAAATAAAAATCAATAATTTTGACTCATACAATATATTGTTGGCTATTGCTACAAATATACTTGTGTGACTTACAACTGGTTTTGTGGCCTGGGGTCACATATAAACAGTAATCGTCACATAAACATAGAGCACACAAGAACCCCTTAGAATGTGACAATAGCACACACTACTGTCCACCATTAAATTAGTTCTGTATTGAAGATTAACCAAAATCTAATGAGTTTGGAACTACATGAGGGTGAGTAAATGACATAATTAAAATTTTTGGGTGAATTACCCCTTTAACGCCTTGCACAAACCAGCCAAAGACAATAGGGAGAAGGAAGGGAGTGAAATCAAGCTAGATTCAAAGTCGGTTCACCCTCCACCATGCCACACACCGGAGTACAAGCTCTACCTGCCAAGACTTGGACCACAGGTCATTTTCTGTTGAAAGGTTACTGTTCTAGTCCAGAAAGTAACAGTGCTCCTGGTCTTCTTAAGATTCTCTTAGTCTATTTGTGATGACAGCATGGATCAGTGGATTCATCTTGTCCATAGAGCAGGAAAATACAGGCTTCACTAAATCCCTGCAAAGATGCGAGAAAAAGCTGTCAAAAGTCCCTAGGAAACAGACATCCTGACATTCTTAGCACTCACTGATATGAGTGCACACATGTATGTCTTTGAACGCATGCATGCTCACAAACCCTGCTGTATAATCAGAGTGCTCCCCATTGCTCATGCGGCTGTCATCTGCAGCGCGCCATCTCTGGTTCTCCTCACAGTTGCGACATACACACTTCATGAAGCCCCTGTCCCCTGCATCAGGAGTGCCTGTGATGTGACATTTTATGCTTTTTACTCATGCTGAGATGACAAAGATATAGAGCTCCAGCAAGCCTGTCCTCTCACAACTGACAACACACTTTCTTCTGACTTCAGAATAATTTAAGGTCGCACACTCTGGCTCTGTTCCAAAACAGAGGGAGCTTCGTCCATAGGCAGTGTTTTAAGGTATAACAGGCACACACCAGATGTGAAGTCTGTTAGCATGTCGCTAAGTTAAAGGTGTGATCACCCCTGTTGAAAAAAAAACAGCATATGCTGGTTAGGCATGATTTAAAGCATGGTAGCTGGTTTGAGCTGGTTTAAGCTGGTCCAAACCAGTTACCAAAACATGCCTAACCAGCATATGCTTTTTTTTTTCAACATTAGCAAAATTTCACAATATGTGCAAAAAAAGTCCACTGTATATTGCCAATAGTGTATATAGTGATGCATGAAGCACAGCACTTTCAAAGTCACTTTCAAACCAAGCAGCTTTCTGTTGGTTATCGCGGCAAATTCATGAAAACCTTTCGCAATCTGCATAGGAAAATCTTCCATGCGCACACAAATTTCCAATCACATTGATTCCTATTGAAATAAGTGAATTTTGCCCATGAAAATTCACTGAACAATGGTAAATGTGACCACACCTTAAAGGGTTCATATGATGCGATTTCAATTTTTCCTTTCTCTTTGGAGTGTTACAAGTTCTTGGTGCATAAAGAAGATCTGTAAAGTTGCAAAGACTAAAGTCTCAAATCCAGAGAGATATTCTTTATAAAAGTTAAGAGTCAACCACGCCTACCTAAAACTGTTCGTTCCAACATGCCCCCACATATCTACGTCACGATGTGGTAAAATTTGCATAACACCGCCCAAATGCTCACGCAAAGAAAGAAGGCGTAACTTTTAGCCACAACGTTCTCAAGCCCGCCCGCCTCCGCTCACTCAAGCCCGCCAACCTCTGATCACTCTAGCCCACCGCCGCTCACTCAAGCCGGCCTCCGCTCACTCTAGGCCTCTGGCCTCTGCTCACTCCAGCCCGCCGTGTGTTTCGTTGTGAAAGCGAAACTACTTTGTGTTTGGCCTTCCAAAATAGGACATGACTAGAAATCAGTGGTTAAGCTGTATTTACAACACTGTTCCAGAACAGTTCAACCCAAATATTCAGATGTGTCCAGCGCATTTTATGGAGGACTGTTTCCTGATCCTGGAAGAATAGACTACAATGCAGGCTGTTCTGACTCACAGACTGTAAGTACGTTTTTTTATATTTAAAGAATTTGCCACTGACGATTCAAACGCGAGTTTTGAGCAGTGTAGAGTAGCGCTTGTTGTTTGTAATTTTTCCGATCACAAATGCAGACATGGCTTTATGTTTACGCGGTGCAATGCAACGCAACGCATAAAAAAACAGTATAAGTCATTATAATCCGTAATTATGTCCCCACTGGATGCAACAAATGCCTGGCTTATAATGGGTTTTAATGTTTATGTCTCGTCGCTCCGGCCGGACAGGGCATCACAGTATGGTAAGGGGCATAACATTTCCGTCACACGCTTGAGGTATTTGGCCAATCACAACGCACTGGATAGCTGGCCAATCAGAGCACACCTCGCTTTTCAGACCGATGAGCTTTATAAAAATCAACACGTTTCAGAAAGGCGGGGCATAGAGGAGAAACAATAATTTTGCAACATCATATGACCTCTTTAAATAGTGTGGTAGTCTAATATCCATACCAATACCTATATGACAAAAATCTGTGTAAAATATAATTTTTCCCATTACAATGAATTATTTTTTCATTCCTCTTTAGTTTTTAATAAATTATCAGTTTTCATTTATAAGCTTCATTTCTATTATCCTATCTGTGTTATTGGATTTATTTGTGTAAAGGGCTGTTCAAACCAAGGATGAAACTATAACCTTTTGGTAATTTTTCAAATTCCATGAGAATAGGGAAGTTTGCACCACAACTATAATGATAACAACACAGATGGAATGAATTTCAGAATGATTTATTTTATTTTATTTTTACAGTTGAACAATAAAAACACTGACAATCCGAATCCACCCAAATTGAAAGAGCTCTAGCCTTTAAAGATACAAATGATAACTGCAGCATGTATTTATAATAATTGTCTACTGGTGTGGAAAGAAATATATATTTATATAGTTATCTAACGTTACAGTCATTTATAGTTATCGCTCAAGGTGTGAAAGGGCCTTAAGACCAAAAAATTGGTAAAATAATGCCTCTGATCATTTTTTGCCAATACTCTTCAGTTTTTAATTAAATATGTTTATTTATAATCATAATTTCTTTCACATCATCCACCATATTGGATGGCACATGGTGCACAAAGCATTGCACATCCTCCATGTAATGCATTACAACAAGCTCAGTAAATAAATAAATCCAATATGGTGGATGAGGTGAGAGAAATGACAGTTACATATTTCATTAAAAAAAAGGGAAAAAAAGAGTGCTATCATGCATGTGCAATAATTTAATGCTTATTAGACTGTTGCTTATTAGACTGCGCTTTTAGCTTAGCAACATGCCATCAAACATTATTGGAACCGAGC